GTGTTAAAATATATGGAAACAAACTAGATAAATCAGACTGAAACAGATACTGAAACAAAAACTGTAAAATGATAAATAACACAAAAAGTTGTTAACCCATATCAGTACAATCCCAGTGAGTGTACCAAGAACAACCCAATTTAGAATATTACACTTCAAATACAAAAAATCAAACTCTTTTCTTAAAAGCTTTAAGAGTTAGAATAATAACTTGACAAATTGTCAAGTAACAATCAGTCTACCACATAGTATCAAAAGATACATGGGTGAATTACAACTACACAAGAGACACTCAAAACCTAAAACTCTAAGATTCCTCTAATTTACAAATTTTTGAAATTTCAAATTATATTATGTTAGGTCTTCTTTTTAAATACACATCTACAGTCCATGGGCTTCAAATTCAGTGTCTAGAAGTTTCTTGATCCACAAGCTGAGTGATGCACCAATTGTGCAGCAAAATCTCCTTAAATCTTGGAACAAAAAATACCAAGTTTCCTAAATTGTCTCAAGGCCCAATTTAGTAACTAATGTACAACTGGAGATACAAAACTTATTCCAGATTAAGTCTTCTTGACCTGCGACATTTACTAAGATATATCCAAAAGGAATATCACAAAATCAAACAAAATATGTCAAGATTTAAAATAGAAGCTCCTGTTGTAACTGACCCAGATGTCATGACGTCTGGTTTAACATCTGGTTGAAAAACTCATAACAAAAAAATTGTTATGACAGTTGATAAGAATGCTGCAACATCTTGATCAACATCAGTATAGAACCATGTTATACCAAAATTTAGTCAATCATAAAACCATGGTTCTAACAATCTCCACCCTTTGGAAAATTAATGGTAAAACAACCAAAGTCCAATTAAAATGGAGAGAAGAATAAAACCACAAAGGAGTAAAACCACAGAGGAATAAAACCACAGACCAAACGAAACAAAAACTTGTATCAAAGATAAATCAATTACACAAACACAAACTACATGCTAAACATGTAAATTTTATACACGAGGAAGAAGATGACATTCATCTTCAGAACAATATAAGTTACCCCCCTTAAACACAGAAACAGTTCTTGTCACATAGAGATAAATCTCCCCCTCAAGAATCACAAGAAAACCAGCTTGAAGCTCCAAAATACCAACATGGATTTAGGACATTATAAGACCATGCAATAGAAGCAACACACATAGCTCAGAGCACAAGACACAACAATGCTCATAACTTAGAACACAAGACACAGCAGATAGGACAACAAATAGTATATTAGAACATCCAATGTGACATCCTGCAAACAAAAGCAAAGCAGAAACAAGACAGGAAGACTCAAGACTCACATGATAGATAGTCATGATCCCCCTAAAGTGTTGCATACAACAAGCAACAACACCAGACTAAACTCAATGACACTTTTCTCCCCTTTTTTAGCCAAAAATTGACAAAAACAGAATGAAAAGAAACTGACACAAAAAGAATCAACAAAAACAAGAATTGATTCAAGACAAACAAAATAAGCCTCAAAAACTTGATCCAGGACTAGTAGCACCAAAAGAAGCAACAAAAAGAATAGATTCTCTCAAACAGGGCAGACTAAACTGAAGAAGAAGAAGAGAGAAAAAAACAAAAAAGTAAAGACTATTAAACAATACTAACTCAATGAAATGAAAAAAATAGAAGAATAAATATTTTTTGTTTTTTTCTTTTTAAAAGCAGATAGCATATATCAACAATCCAAATATTTCTCCTGAGTCAATGAAATTGACCCAGTTTTCATCAACATCTGAATCCGAGTCATGTAACTGAACATGATTCTTCTTAAGGGACTTAATATTTGTTACAGATGTTTTCCCTGTTCTGGATGCTCTAGTAGATTTTCCAACAATTGTTGCAATGTTGAATCCAACCTTCTTTGGATCACATCTCTTATCCATTTTGGATTCCACCAGAACAACCTTCTTAGCACTAGCATTTGTGGAATATTTTCTCATGTTTGAAACGAATTTTGTGAGTATGGTGAGGTTGTGATGTCTTTAAGTACAAGGAGAGTTATCTAGTTTGTAACGAAACCTTTCTTGTAATGACAGTCTAGTTAATGAGAGCATTTTTGGAAGAAGATAAAATCACCCTTAGTAATAGTGCACAACTCTCAATAGGAGAGAGACACATTCTTTATCAGCTTTTCTCGCTTTCCAAGCTTTGATTGCTGGAAAATGTTACAACATTTGAAATGACATTCTACATGCCATTAAAAATGACTTTTCTAAGATTTCACATATTAGAAGATGAAGGAGTATAGTTGGTAAACTCACCAAATAGTTACTACTATAATTCTTTAGTAGTGCAACTCAACAATTACCCCTCGTATACTCAATGTAACTTACACCTCAAGTTATGAAAAAAAGATTCCTACAGCTTCTTAGACATACCAATCTTAGGAGTACCAATATTTTCCTGTAATAATACCCCTGACACAATGTTAACTTAAACTCGTGACTTTGTTATGTAAACTGAATAAACTCCTTGAGTGCCTTAATTGCAGTAGCTTGTCACACTATAATGTCATGACATCCAGTTTGTCATTCTACTCTTTTAGTAACTAATCCACTTAAGAACACATATTCCTTCAGCAGTGTACCTATCATTTAAAGATAGACCAGAATAAAAGATTTTTGATCCAAGACACAAGATTGTTTCTTAAAATAACATCCCTCTTTCACACTATCTCCATTAGACTTAGACAAAAAACTTTTACTCCAAAACACATCATCATTCGATGTTTCATCTATGAAACTATTTATGATCACAAACTCTAAAAGATTCCAAATAATGAATTCCCTCTTAGACATTATTTTGTTTTCTAGAGAATTTCCTTATCCAGTTCCTGCTAGCACTTTAGAATCTTTCACATTTTTTGGAGTCTCAACCTGCTAGGTTGATGTTTCAACATCTGTTTGAACATCAATTCCTTTCTCAATGAATAAATCACTAATTTTGGTTCTGAAGTTTACGTTACTAAATGTGCTTCTATTAGTAGAGTAACTCAGAAGTATACCTTGTTCTATTTCAAGAAGAGATAATAACTTTTGAAGACTTCACAAATAATATATTCTTCTTTACTATAGATCACAAAAGAGAATAACATATATGGCTCTATCCACCAGGATACAAACCTTGTATGGGATTAATCAGATCCATATAACAAATTTTAGAGCTTTTTGCAACTATCTGATGTTGCACCTTTTGGTGTGACATCTTAACTTCATCTTTCATGTACATTAAGTAAGAGGATAAGCAATTAAATACTTGTGGAATACACAAATAGCAACTGTTTTTAAATAATCATCAAAACTTCAGACATCTAATTAGAGATAAAAATTTCTTTCTGGATGACATTTACCTTCAGACCTTGATCACATAACTGACTTATGTTTAGCACAATAGTCATAAGTCCTTTAGTAAGAAAAATATTAAAAAAACTTAGATATTCTTCAGTTACCCAATGCCCTTAATCTTCCCTTTTTGTATAAACAACAAAATTAACAGTTGATAGCATGATACTTAAACAAACCACCAGAACCATTTTAATTGTAGTCAAGTTTCTAGAAATGTTAGTGTAAAAATGCCAATCATCTTCGTTGAAGATCTACGAAAGTGTGATACGGTGGAAGAACTGACTGTTTTTTAGAATGTTGGTTTGCGTTTTGCGTTTGTGTTCGCAAAATGTCGTGGTAAGAAAGAATCGCCACCGTCTTTTATTTTATCCAACAAGGAAAGTAAAAAAGCACAGAAAAATTCCTTTTTCGAGATATTTCTGGGTACGGGGGGTAGATTATGGAAAGGGAAGGTATTATCACCCTTTCTATCCGTAGTTATCTACGGGATCTTAGGTACTTGCTCATCATTTTCAAAATTGTTTTCTTTGTGTTTGTGGGATTTGAAAAGTTTTTGTTTTAACTTTGATTTAACTCTTGCTTCTGTCTTCAAGAGTGTAATGAAGTGTTTTTGAAAACTTGTTTGTAAAAGAGTGAAAGTGTGAAAAAAGTTTTGTTTTGGATGAGCAAGTATCTAAGAACAAATCTACCTACTCGAAAAAAGGAATCGTTCTATGTTTGTTTCCTTTAGACAACTCTATCCCACTATTAGTGAGTAGGCAGCACCGTCGTTGGAGTTTGAGGGTCAATTCGAAAAGGAACATACAGTCACTAAAGCAATGTTAGGATATCTTAGTGGTAACCCTAATGTCTTAGATCATTTATCTGAGGCAACAATATCCGAGGCAACCTTTTCGAGGCAACTTATGATCTTTTAGACAAGAGGGCGACCTCTAAAATAACCTATGCTCAATGACCGTGTACAAAGGCAACCAAGTGGGAATGTACCCTAGGAGGTGCGCATGTGCGAATGTGTTGATTTCAGATTAATTATCTTTGCACATGTGAAACAACCGGCTGAAAATCATCAAAACAATGAAGTCGCCATCGAACGTATTTTATCCCACATGTAGGGAAAGGTAAACATCGAGAAAACCTGATGAGGGAGAAGTCACGGTCTTGCAACCGAGAGATCGGGTAAGGGAGTCTGTTACGCGAGGGGAAGGTATTAGCACCCCACACGCCCGTAGTACTCTACGGTATCCACTCTTTTTGTCTATCTTATGGGTGTGTTTAATCTATGCTTACTGTTTATTACTGCTAAAGGGAGAATGCATGCAAAAGAAAGGGGA